CTCTACCATTGAGCCACCTTCCCAACCCCTATTGATAATTTTTTAAATAGTATTTTTTAAATAGACATACAAGATTAAGCTGGGCACTATGCTGTGCAGCTGTAGTCTCAGTTAAGGTACATGGATTGCTTGAGCCTTGGAGTTCAAAGTCAACCTGGGCAACATAGTTGGATTCTATCTAAAAAGAAAGGAAAGAAAGAACGAATGAATAAAAGAAAGATACATATTGGGTATTGGTTGCTCATGCCTGTAATCATAGCTGCTCAGGAGGTTGAGATCTGAGGATCATGATTTGAAGTTAGCTTGAGCAAAAAAGTCTGTGAAACTCTTAATTTCCAATTAACCAACAAAAAGCTAGAAGTGGAGGTATGGTTCAAGTGTGCAGAGTAGTAGCCTTCAGTGAAAAAGCTGAGGGACAAACTGGGTGCCAGTAGCTCACACTTGTAATCCTAAACTCAAGAGGCTGAGATCTGAGGATCATGATTCAAAGCCAGCCCTGGCAGGAAAGTCCCTGAGACTCTTATCTCCAATTAACCACGAGAAAACTGGGAGTAGCGCTGTGGCCCAGTGGTAGAGTGGTAGCCTTGAAATGCTCAGGACAGTGCCCAGTCCCAGATTTCAAGCTCTAGGACCAACCAAAAAAAAAAAAGAAATTTTAGCTGGTGGTGCATACTGGTAATCAAGAAAGAAATTTGAGAGCCTGGGTATGGTGGTATGTACCTATTATTCCAGCTACAAAGGAGGGAGAGATGGAAGGATAGAGGTCTGAGCTTCCCTGGGTTTAAATGGAAGACCTTATCTAAAAAAAAAATGAACTAAAGCAGAAAAGACTGGGAATATGACTCAAGAGTCATATTTGATCTTGCCTAGCAAGCTTGAGGCCCCAAGTTAAAACCCCAGTGCTCTCTCTCTCTCTCTCTCTCTCTCACACACACACACACACACGCACGCACGCACGAGAAAATAAAAAGAAAAAGGCAGAGATGTGCCTGGGTGCTGTCTCTGAAGTTTTTTGCTTTACTACCACTTTGAGCCACAGCACCACTCTGATTTTTATGTGGTTAGTTAGAGATGAGATTCTCATGGCCTTTCCTGCCCAGGCTAGCTTTGAATCCCAGTCCATATATCTCAGCCTCCTGAGTGGCTGGGATTACAGGCATGAGCCACCAGCTCCCCACTCTGTGAGACGCTTTATCTCCAATTAACTACCAAAACTGGAAGTACAGCTGTGGCTTAAAGTTATAGAGCACTAGCCTTGAAAAAAAGCTGAGGGACAGACCCTGAATTCAAGTCCCAGGACTAACACACTCAAAAAAGATGAGCCAGACTGGGAAGGTGGCTCAGTGGTAGAGCACTTGCCTTACATGCTTGAGGCCCTGGGTTTGATTCCTCAGCACCACATAAAGCAGAAAAAAAAGCCGGAAGTGGCACTGTGGCTCAAGTGGTAGAGTGCTAGCCTTGAGTTGAAGAGCTGAGGGACAGTGGCCAGGCCCAGAGTTCAGGCTCCATGACCGGACCCCCCCCCCAAAAAAAAAAAAAAGATGAGCCTTACATTTTCTGTGGCATTTACCAGTAGAAGAGAAAATAGAAACTTATTTATTTGGGGGTGCTGATAGTTGAACTCAAGGCTTTTTACATTTAGCTAGACAAGCACTCTACCATTTAAGCCACACCCCTCTCAACACTTTTTTGCTTTCATTATTTTTCAGATAAGGTCTCAAGTTTACATCCAGGCCATTGTGGACCTTCATCCTATTTGAGTAGTTGAGATTAGAGATGAATGCTACTATGCCCAATTTTTCTTTCTTGTAAATTGATTGGGATGAAATTCAAGAACTATTTTATCTAGGCTGGCTTATAACCTAGTCTTTTCCTCGGGAGTAGCTGGAACTAACTTCTGAGTAGCTGGGATTAAGAGCCTGAGCCACTTCATCTAGTCCAGAGAAATTTTTGATAAATCCTGTTCCTCACTAAATAGACCAAGTATCTTCATAGTATGTATATTACATTATAATAAGTCTGAACTAAAGGCAGATTAAAAAAAATTAAAAAGTAGCTCAGCACCAGTGGTTCATGACTGTAATCCTCGCTACTCAGAAGGCTGAGATCTAAAGATTGCAGTTCAAAACCAGCCCAGACAGGAAAGTCAGTGAGATTCTTACCTCCAATAAACCACCAGAAAACTGGTAATGGCACT